CTTCACAGAACATGGTAAAATTGGGTTGGTGCTGGAGCCTTGGTAGTATAGAGAGAGAGATCTGCCGAAGCCTCATGATATGAGGTACTCTAAACTTTTTAGCTCAAAGACAGAAAACTAGATTTTGCCTAAAGCATGTTACAGTGTGTTCCTTGAAGCTCGATTTGGCAAACAGGTGAACAGGTGGCCGAGGGATCTTCCAGACAGTCCTGTCTGTGCAGTGCATTGTGTATGACACATCTCTGTGCACTAGAGCCAGACTATCTGCAATAGTTAACTTAAAATAACAACTTCACAAGATGTTTAGAACAATGAGCTTGTTCAAAAATAAAGGCCTTCAGATTTCATTCAGAACTGATTGTACTTATTAATCTGCTTTTCTGCTTGTTTCACATTTGGAGACTAGAATAACACGTGAATGCAGTGACTAGCTTCCCTTACAGAAACTTGAAAATGGCTATCACCACCATATGTTCTGCAATACCCTTTTTTTTTTTTTTAAAGAGTGCATCAGCATACATGTGAAATGATAGATATAACCACACTAAGGCTTTTTCAGTGCTATGCTTTTAAAAATAATTCAGATTGCAATTGATATTTCCCTCTAGTTTTGTTTTGATTTTGTTTTTCAGTTTTGTTTTGATTCACTGTATTAAAAAGTAGGATACCTTCATGTTGAATACTGTTCTTTTTTTTGTTTTCTCATGATATTTACAAAATGTAAAGGAAAGCAGAAGCAGGAAAAGTTATATGTGAAACTACTGTGTATGTTGAGATGGGAAAATCCAAAGGTTTAGAATTCACAGAGTCTCTCGTTAAAGCTAGGAGTTTTGCAGCAGTTTTAGAGTTCTTGGGAGGCCCCTTCCTGTTAGCTGGTGGAAACGTGCTTTCCAAAGCCCTTTGCAATTTTTTTTTCGGAAATGAAGTTCATTTTTTTGAATCTCGGGTTTTTAATTCTCTCATCCAAGCAAATGTACTAGTAGATCATCTTACCTCACTTTGACCTTTGCTTTCTCTTCCTGGGAGCAGTCCTTGTTCATTTTTATTTTTGTCTAGCATCCAGTTGTGTTCCCTCTGCAGTTAGTAGCCAGCTAAATGCACGGCTTAGCCTCCTAGTCGAACTTTCTTACGCTTTTCCTCTGCCCAGTCCTGCTGAGCCCCACCTGTCACTTTCTCAGTGTCAGGGCATTTTTGTCCATCTGTCCCTTCTCCAAACATCAGTGTTTGTTGCTTTCATGCAGCATTGTTTCTGAAGGTCCAATTCTGTTCCCATTGGCCTCAGAAGGGAATATTTGTTTTCTTTCCAACTCGCTACAGATGCAGGAGGCGTCTCTCTTCAGAGAGCAGTTACCCCATGTTCTGTAAAAACATGTTGGTTATCCCTATCCCATGGAATTTATCATAACAATTTTGTTGGTTTGCTTTTTTTCTCCTATATTTTCTATCTAAATGCATCTAGCTTTTTTCGTGTACTTTGACATCCTATTCTCAAACACTGCATCTTCCTCAAGGTGCCCCACTCCTCAAAAAGCCCATTCCCTGTCCCCTGCCCAGCTTTTGGTACATCCAACTGCTGTTCTCTGTCCTAGTGCTGCCTGTACGTCCCACTCATGATTTAGGCTCTTTCTACTCACTGGTCTTGGCCACTTCAGATAGCCTTACTTGTCAGGTGAGAGTGAGTGAGTTGTCACTTGCACCTTTTTATGTTTCTGCATTAAGACCTGTAAAGAGAGTGTGTGAGATTTGGTCAACTTAAATCAAATCTGGAGGCAGCTCACCGATTTATAACCATGCATAGTTGTGTAAGCATATAATAAGGTAATCATCAGTAACAGAAATATTGTTTGCTGTATTCACAGTATCTTAAGGACTGAAACCCCTCTAATGTCTGACTGTCTTACCTTTCCTGGAACTCATTCACCCCATAACATAACATAAGCACGTTTATTTTACATTACTGGAAAGAAACCGTTAATACTTGTATTATGTTTTAACTTGCTTTCCTTTGGAGGCAGGGAATTGTCAAGTAAGTACTAACAACACACAGCACAGAAAAAGCACAGATTGCTGTGAATGTACAATGTAGATTGTGTAGGCCACAAAGGGTAAATATATGCAGTGTCCTATAGTGCAAATTTCTTGTCTTGACACTGCCATCCTATTTATCAAAATAAATCAGGTCTAGTCATAGACTTGTTAAAAACAAAAGTCAAATTGATGCTGCTTTATGTTTCTTTAATCAAGGTGATAATAAGGCAATGAATGTGTTTGTGTGTATATATACATGTGTATGTATATATGAATGCACACAACATTTGTGTTTATGTGTACTGTGAATAGATACATATATAAAAGTATGTGTGTGTGTGTACGTTTCCAAATTAAATCTCATGTTTACTATCTAGTGATTATTAGTCATGCCATAGTGGTAGTGTTCTCTTGCTTTCATAAAAGTTTTTGGCTTGCTCTTGTCATAAACTTCAACAGATATGCCAAGGTAAAGAATTGTGAAAATGATCCATTTTAAAATTACACTAAAACAGAAAAAAGAGCAGGAGGCATACAGGAAAAAAATTCATTATTTTTATATGTGTTGATTCAAAGGCCTTAGTAAATCTGGGCTGAAAGTGCTTTTTCTGTTCTAGCATTGCATAGTGTTTTTATTTTGCAAGAGAATTAAGTTTTATAATAATTTCCTCCATCCCTTCTCTACTGGTGAGTGCACTGCTATTTGGTCCAATTACCATTGACGGTTATGTAACACAACTTGATTGACCACTTCCAGAGAAAATAAAGGTACTTGTTTCCCTGTGAACAAAAAGTACAAGCTGTCCCTGTACATAAGTTGGCCTACCACAGAACAATTATCAGGCTAAATTGCAAGCTGAACTAGGATAGAGAACAAGCATCCATTGTGTGAAACTCTTTAACAGTGCTTATAAGAAAGTTCTACCAGTTGCCATTCCGGTTAGGCACCTGTAAATAAAGAAACAGATGGAATCACATTCTCCTTCAGCATTAAGTGTGCAGGAAGCATTTATGTAGCTTCCTTTTTTTCCCTTCCCTGTCCTGTAGGATCCTGAGTTAAGAATATACCCAGTAATGCCAGGGAATGATGTTTCTGAATTTGTAGACTGGTGCACTCTTTAATTTCTGTTTTAGTTTTTGCTGGCATGCTTGAATAGCATGTTTTGTGCCACACGGGAATGACTGATCAACTCTAAAAATGCTTGTGCATGAGTAAAGTGGTCAGAAGTACACCTAAACTGTATTAAGTTTCTTACTTGACTTTGTTTGCTGCTTACAAGGGGATCAAGGTAACTAACTCTTTTACTCTTTTAATGTCAAAAGATCTAATAATGTACTTTGCTAGCACTTAGTGGGTTTGTTTGCTTGAGAAGTGGGTTAGTCTGTTTACTTTCAGTTCTGTTGTGTCTTTTTTAGAGCTCAGATTTCCAAGCTACCTATTCCTGCAATAAGTATTCTAATTACTTAGCAATGTGTTCTAGCTATGCATTTTGTCAAATGTTGTCTTTAGTAGCTTTGATAAAAACGCAATTGTAGAAAAATCAGTTCCTGCTAAGCAAAAGGTATTTCACTCTTCTGAAATGATTTTTGGAAAAAAAAAATAAAAAAAATAGTAGCAGTTACAGTTTAAGGACAAGAACGATCAAAACTTCACAGCATTTATAATGTGTATCAAGTTCATTCATTTTTGAAATCTTAAACTGCAAAAATACTTTCCAGATTCAAGCCTCGATTAAATAAATTGAGGCCAGGTGTTTTGTTTTGGTTTTACTTACAGAACCCTGTTGGTTAACCCTGTCTCTAGAATCTGCAATTGGAGTTTAAAGGCATGCAGTGTTGTTTTTCATATTAATAATAGTAGCCATCAAGTGATGTCTTGAAGCAAGCATTTAATCATAATACCTGTTTTTATTATTTTGCTATCCCCACTTCTATTCCAAACTTCTAGCAAGACCCATCTTCTAACTAACAGTTGATCAAACATGATGAAAAATCTAGGCCAAAATTATTCGGGCTAAATTCTCTGATAATCCAGTACAATTTTTATGGGTCTGTTCTGTTGTTGACAGGGTTAGAATTTAGCCTCCTGAATTTCTGTTACCACAAAAGGGCAACAATTGTGCTCAAATTAGCCTAATAGTCATCCAGACTGGAGGCAGTGCAGCAGGCATTTGGTTTTGTTAGGTCCTGAACTTCTAGAGGCTGAGCACCCTCTACTCCTGTTAGGTTTGTGCCTCTTCTTTTTTCTCGGAAGCATCAAGTCAAATACACCCTTTGCTGCCTCCCATATAATCATTTTTCTGTTAACTGTAGCCTGTTCCCTTCCAGTTAGTATATTCCATAGCAGTAGGTGTTATCTGATGTTGTAACAGATGTTGTTGTTTGCACAATTTATTTTTTTTCAGTCTGTGTTGTCTTTTTAGTTACTTTCAGCAACTGTAATTATATAAAGATGCTTCACTGGCCTTAGACTTTTTAAAATTCACACTGATAAATGACTAACACGGACTAAAATGTAGTAATTGTATCTTTAATGTGATTTTGAGAAGATTTTAATAATGTCAAATCAAGGTTTTGTGGTGGGGTTTCTCAGAAGAAGCGAAGTTGGAAGAAGGTTAACTTCAGATATAGGAAGTCTTTTAGAGCATTTCTGAAAGCAAAAATTTACTATCTGTTGGTATTCCAGGACTTTCCTATGGATTTAAATCATTAGAATTTAAAAATAAAAATTGGTGTAAGATGGTCTGTTCTGCCACTCATCCACAAAATCTACATGAATGTTATTTCTGCTCCCATCTTTCAAAATGCATATGATTTTTGTTAGTTTATTATGAAACTCTAAAATCTAGGCAATAAACATGTAGTTGCAGTTGACCATTTCTTGTTCACTTGTAAAACGTATACTATGGTTTTACAGGATTAGTTTTGCTTTCAAATATACTGATGGTCTTTTTTACATATGTTTGTTTCAGGCCGCCAGTTAGCAGAGCTGCTCCTCAACCTGAAAAACTGCAAAAGAACAATATCAACAAAAAAAAGAAACTGGTTGAGGTCAGACTTAGTATTTATTAATTTGCTTTGGAAGTAATATGCGCTGGGTGAAATTCATCCCTATTTTGAGCACAGCTGAAGTTGTTTATAGGCAAAAGAAAAGGCAAAGAAACTTCTAAGTAGTGTTCTCAGCACTGACAGCAAACACCAGAAGACATGATAGCCAGCAACCTCAGGCAGAAAGAAAACTTGGATTCAGGGTATTGAAGCTTACCTCTAACAACAGATCTTTCCACACCCAAAATTTGTGTATTATATTGAAGGACATGTACAGCTAACGTGTATGTTCATCCGCAGCAGAACTCACGCTCACTAAATAACTCCAATGGAAATCCAGTCAGAAATGGCACTTTTGCACATACAAAATTATGTGCATTATTTTGAATTACAAAAATTGCATTATTTTGAATTATGAACTTCGCTTATTTATCTGGGGACATACTATCTTCCTCAAACTGTAGGCCCTCCCCTCCACTCCCCTCAGCTATGTGGAATGTCCATGAAATATGCTGAACAAGGAATATTCTCTGGACTTTGTGAACAATTTACAATTGCTTGGTCTGTCACTGTCATTCACATTGTTCAAAGTAAGCTGTAATTGTGTCTGGGACAGATCCATTAAGATCCATTTGCTATAACAGCAAATCTAACAACAATCCATTGACCAGCAGTATTTTTCCGTAGGAAATTTCCTTGACAATGCTCATTGTAAGATGAAATGTCTGAGACACCTCTGATTAATATTTTAGTTACAGAGTTGCTTATAGCCTGTCTTTGCTTCTCATAAGGACTTTAATGTCAGAATTTGGTCTATTTTGAAGACTTCAATTAGAAGTAAAGATATTTGTAAATAGCAGATGTTCTATATAGATATGAAACTATTCTGCAAAGATTAATAAAATTGGACCCTTTTTAGAGTCGCATATATTTATCAGGGATAGATATTACTGGATTTTTTTGTTGTTGTTGCTTTTACAAGATACTTGTGTCTTGTGCAATGACTTCTGGACTTATGTGATTCAAACTCTCTAACCTTCTTATTTATTCTTCTGTTTCATTCTTATTCTTTCTTTCTGTTTCATTTGACTAGGAGCTGGCTTTAGACCATGTTTTTGGATACAGAGGATTTGATTGTCGCAACAACCTTCATTACCTAAATGATGGTGCTGATATTATTTTCCACACAGCTGCAGCAGGCATAGTTCAAAATCTTTCTACTGGTAATTCAACTTGAAACAGTACTTTGAGACAAAAATTACTGTAAAAACGAAACATTTCTGTATGAAAGTCATAGTTTCTTAACATTCCTGCAAGTTTTTCACATTCTGCATCTCGATAAATAATGCAAAGTAATTTCAATGGCTATTTCTCCATCTGACAAGTTCTGCTATTCAGGTCATCCTGTAGAGCTATCCTATTCCTTTCAGGAGGTATGAGATTCTGTTCGGAAACATGAGGAAAACTGTCTTATTTCTGCAGTTAGGCCTTGCCAAGATCCACACTGAAGACATAGGAATTGTTTTCTCAGAGGGGAGCGCCTGAGATGTGAAATGTTGATCATCCTTAAAATTTTAGGAGCGATAAAATTCACTGTTTCATTCTGAGTTATTTTAGCAAAGGCATACTCCGGGGAAGAATACATTTTGATGCAATGCAATGTGAGTAAACTGTTCTTTGGAAGGAGTAGAAATATTCCCTGACATTTTGGGTAATGGGAAAACAAACAAAAAACACCACACAACTTAGCTAGTTCTGAGTTGTAGCACCAACAACTCCATGTTCTCCATATATCTTAAGAAACAAAGCCAGTAATTCTGGCTTTATTCTCTTCCCTCTTGGTGCAGCAGTGAACCAAATGAGCACTCAGCGGCTCTGCTGCCAAGGAGAGGCAGAGACAGAAAAGCTGTCACATCTGCTGACCCTGGGGGACTCTTGCCCTAACGCAGCCTCTGACCCATAGAGCTGGGAAGCATGGTCTTGGCTTTTCTTTCTGGGCCATTTCCCTTGGGAGAACAGTGCAGAGCATAAACTTCCCAGGGTTTTCTTCTCCTCTTCGCTTCCCATTGACTACTTCAATTAAGCAGGAAACCTGGTCTGTGTGTTTGCCAGTTTCGTTTTTTTCTTGCAGTTACAGGTGGCTACAGGATGATTCTTGGACTGAGTCCTGGTTTCCTGGACGTAGCTAGTTTACTAAATACTGCTTTTATATGTATGTGTTAGTGATTACATTCATAGTGCATTTGGTAATGGTGCCTGGGAATGAAAGCAAAGCAGTTTTCAACATACTTACTGCTCTCCCTCCAAATATCCCTTAGAGAGCACAGTATGAGCATAGCATCAAGCTGCTTAAATGTTCTTGGCTTCAGTTGTGGTTCTTTCTTTGATACTGTCATGAATAAAACCATGTTTGAATTTTATTAGGTAGTCAGAGTTTCTACCTGGAGCATACTGATGACATTCTCTGCCTAACTGTGAATCAGCACCCAAAGTATAAAAATATTGTGGCAACCAGCCAGATCGGTAGGTGACTCTCCATATAATAAAGTTTTACTCAAGAATTATCAGGGGCACTGATTTATTTTGGGCTTTTCTGTGTAGGAATTTTACCAGGACTTGCCACTGTTACTGTCCTCAATTTTTTTAATTTGATTTTAAAGAGATAATAAAGCCTCAGGATTTTCTTATGATTTGAGTCTACCTGCAATAGTTTCATCTCTGATTGTGAGTCACTAGATTTTAGAGTTAACTGTAATAAAATGCTATTTCAGAAAGCAAGTTTTTATAAACTGCACTAAATCAACTCATTAATTTGTAATCATAAAATTTCCAGAATTCCCTCTTTCCTTCTTGTATCCAAGGCACTGTTTAGCAGTAAAATGCTTAGCTGTGAAAATACAATAACGAACATTTCCTGTGCAGAACTACAAAAGCTATACAGAAAAGGAAAGAATTAGAGTGAAATGTCTGCAGAATTTATGGCGCAAATAAGGGCTGACCCTAAAACCATAAGTATTGAAGAATTTATTATTTAAATAAGGAGTCCTGTTAAATTCGTTAGTCCTTTTCCAGGTGTAAACACTATGCAGAAATATGCAGGATCATTTGTCCCAAATAGAATAATTAATTTAATGAAAAATAATAGAGTCATTTTACTCTGGAAGGATGCTCAAGTCCATAACTTCTATAGTAAGTAATTTAACAATGAGACAGAAAAATGGTAGTAGATGAACACCGTGACAAACCATCTTTGCCACCTGTACTGAGTGTTGTCACTTTCAATTTGATTGTCGAGTAAACACAAAAATCAAGACAGTCAGAGCTGTGGTTCAAAATACTGATTTCTGTGATGTAGAACAGATGTCTGTTAAAGCCCCTTTTTCTGTCAGTAAGAGCCCATGAAATCAGTGTTTCTGATTTTCGTTGATATCCTCTATAACTGTAGATTCATTTTAGATTTAGTTAGTAAATTTTAAAAACTGCATGCCTTTAACATTTCTTTTAAATGCCAGTTTTAAAATGAAAAATACTAAATATTGTTGCTATATTTGTGTATAAAAGACAATATACCCAAAAAAGTTCAACAATATTCCTGCTTATTTGTTTTGTTGATTTAATCCATATCCATTTTCAATTTTTTTAATTTTTTTCCTTCTTGTGCTGATGCTGGCACTTCAGCATTAGAAACATGACTTATTTCACCTATTGTTTTCCCTTGGTGCTTCCTCATTTGCCATTGCTCTCACAATGCAGGTGATATGACAGAATTTACAGGTAAGGCTGATTTGTTTGTGAATCTTGGTCAGCAGAGTTATGTAAAAGTCTCATGTTACCTCATTGTATCTGTGTGAATCGCGGATACAAGCGAAACATCTACAGACAATTTCTTTTGCATGATGTTCTTCATAAATGTTATGTTGTTCTTTTAGAGTTTGTCTTCATGAAATACAATAATTTCCCCGTGTTTTTTGCAAGTTCTTATGATTTTTTTGAGTAGTGTTAATCTTAATAATAAGTGTCTGTTTAGGTTGAATGTTCTTGCAAAAATGCGTATTTTGCATTGAAGCTTCTGACATGCTGAATTAATTCTCTTTTAATATATCTTTTTACATTTAGGTACAACTCCCACAATTCATATATGGGATGCTATGAGTAAGCAAACAATTTCAATGCTACGTTGCTTCCATACCAAAGGAGTCAACTATGTCAACTTCAGTGCAACTGGCAAACTTCTGGTTTCAGTGGGAGTTGATCCAGAACATACTATCACAGTGTGGAGGTGGCAAGAAGGTAACTCTTGAAAACCCATTCCTTTAGCCTATTATTTGGTTTTCCTTTCAAGCCCTTGGCATTGGTGTTCTTACTCCAAGTGTCATGGCTCCATAAAAGTTAAAAACTCACTGAAATGAGACAACAATGTGCTAGAATATACTAACAAGAAAATGAATTTTAAATTTCTGTTATGAATAGAAGTAAGTTAAGGAAAGAACGTTTAATATAAAATTCTATAAAATTAAGGGAACTATTTTCTTTTTCCTCTGAAACTGCATGAACTTGAAATTGTATGCAGTAGTTAGGCCTTTGGAAAGTCATTTCCAGAAAAGAATTATCACCTTTGGAAATTCAGGAGGGCAGAAGGGGAGGGTCTCAGCTCACCAGATGTTTCCCTGCTTTACTTCAAAAATTCCACAGATTTTTAGTTATCCCTGCACATACCTGTGCTTACTGCCTGTCTCCTCCACTTCAGGAGCAGGCGTTACATTTTCCTAATTGCTGTGAGTAGTTATATCAAAAAGATGTGCTTAAAGAATGTCCAATGTCCCTGGACAGAGCAGGTTTCTCAGGAAATGCAGTAGTACTACTGTGCTTTAAAGGCTTTTTAAGAATAGTGGTAGCAATGCTCATCTTTTCGGCCTGCTTTTTCTGGAGCAGAAAAACTGGATTTAATTCGTGCATGAGGACTTTGAGCCCAGATCTCTGAAAGTGCTCTAGTAGTGGCTGTTGGCCTGATGTTGGCAGCATGCAGGTGCCTAGGTGTTTTCAAAGAGTCAGAAACACTAATTCTTGAGTGTCAGCTTCCCTTTATGTTTCACCAGATGGCAACTTACTGATGATACTCAGAATTTCTGTGTTGTTATTTCAGTGACAAAGGAGATGAGTCATGCTATTATGGTCCTAAAACTGCCAAATGTAATGGAATAAGCAGGGATGATGCACATTACATGAATTTAAGATGTTTCATACGCAATAATGTTGGGATTTGCTTAGCTTGCAGCATCTGAAACAGTTTTCTAATCCAATGCCAGGTCGATTTATTTTATAAAATCGTATCAGAGCTTAGTTTTGCAGATAAAATTAACTATTTTTATCCTTTCCTAATTATACAGGGGCTAAAGTTGCTAGCAGGGGAGGACACCTGGAGAGGATATTTGTTGTAGAGTTCCGCCCAGATTCAGACACTCAGTTTGTGTCTGTTGGAGTAAAACACATGAAGTTCTGGACATTAGCTGGCAGTGCTTTGCTTTACAAGAAAGGAGTCATTGGTTCCATGGAAGATGCCAAAATGCAAACCATGCTTTCTGTTGCCTTCGGAGCAGTAAGTTCAAATTACTTGTTACAAAATTTTATAATACCTTTTTATTAAAACTGCAAGTGTCAATTTCCTTTTGTTGAAATCCCGTGCAAAACCATGGGAGTTCTTGCTTAGTACTTAAACTTTTAATGTGATACTTGTACACCTTTAGATAGCCATGTAAGTTTTCTAAACCAGGTTGGGTTTCTCTGTCAGAGAACATTTTTTATTAACGACGGTGCATTATATTGTAATTTTGTGTATAGGCTCTGCAACCTTTTGTTTTGTTTGGTATGACATATGCTAGTGACCCCAACTGTTCAGTAAGGAACCGCAATTCTGTGGTTTAGATTTCATAGTTACGGAAAACAATGCTTATTAACAGTGAAAAAGCAGTGTTACTGTGTTACCATGGTCTGAAATAGCTTCTACTTCATCCAGAAATTCCATACAAATTACCTTCACAAAAATTAAGCATAAATTACAGAAATCACCAATTCAAAAAAAAATCCTTTTTCCTAACCATCCACCCCCTGAACTATGGTACTAATGTGTGAAATGTAAGTATATACATTTAGGCTTCCATGATTAGGCATTCTGTGGTTCCAAATCCTCATGCTGGTGCCCAAACAAGTGACTTTGTCATCAAAAAATCCTTAATATTATGATCCATATTAATCATCTCAAAGAAACACCATTAGAGGAGTGCAGTCATTAAATTCATTCTTTTCAGTGCATGTGGTTTTAATTCCTACATTGATTACAGTTGAATTTTCTCAGGAAGTCCAGTAGCTAAAATAATTTTAATTCAAGCTGATCAAAAATGCTGAGATATTTATTATATCAAAGATCATTGCTATTTGTTGCAGAATAACCTTACATTTACTGGTGCCATAAATGGAGATGTCTACGTCTGGAAGGATCATTTTCTGATTAGACTTGTGGCAAAAGCTCACACAGGGCCAGTGTTTACAATGTACACAACTCTTCGGGATGGACTCATTGTTACAGGAGGCAAGGAAAGACCGTAAGACATACAGTCTTCCTAAAGTGCACAACTCTTTTCTTTTATATTATTTTAATATAACTAATGCACTAGAAATAACGAATGGTTCCCAGGGATAAATCATGTCTGCCCTGTAGGAATTTCAATCTAAATGACACACAGCATGCCCAGAGTCTTAGTAAGTAAAAGACTATTAGGTAAGACACTTGAGGGTCACAGTAATGCATACATCCACAAAGGATGTACTGAACTTCAAATTAGAAGTGATATAAACACCTGTGTGATCTCACTGTGGCCTGACCTTCTGCCAGACTGGCAATTTTTTTTGTTATTTTTTTTTTTTTAATTCTATCAACCTACAGACTGCCTCTCCCAGTAGAGACTTTGTGAGTAGCAAGTTCTTCTATTTACTGAAAGTAATATCATCTTTGCAGACCTTATCTCCGCAACAGACTTGAGATTGACAAGAGAGCAATTTGCTTTTTATGTATTAGGTATGCTACTGTTTAAAACATGAAGTGTGAGTGTTATCTACCATATTTGTATTATTTACTTTATATTACAAGGTAGCAAGGTGTCCTTACATTGAATCACCTTCTACTGTATTTATATTATTTAAGTAATCAGAAGAATATTGACAAGTTTACAGATGAGATTTGTTGTAGCCCATGCAGGAGACATCTGTGTAACACAATATACTCCTTTTCAGCACTAAAGAAGGGGGAGCTGTAAAGCTATGGGATCAAGAAATGAAACGGTGCCGAGCATTTCAGCTTGAGACAGGACAGCTCATAGAGTGTGTGCGCTCCGTCTGTAGAGGAAAAGTAAGTGAGCCAACGTGGCAGATTCCACAATTTGTCATGCATCACTAGGTATTGTTGGTGGTGAAGATCAGATGGGGAACGTTTAGGAGGAGACTCTTCTAAACTGTATGAATATATGCTTTTTCCAAGTTTTTGCTGAGAAAACTCTTGCAGTTTAGACAGTGACAGTACAGCTAGAGTAGATGATCTCTCTGACAGTCTAACTGAATCTAACACTTTGTTTAGATTTTTGTTACTGCCCCAAAATGATATTAAGTCACCTCAGAGGTATAAAAATAATACTTTACCAACAGGTATGGAAACACTTTGATCTGAATAAAAATCCTTCATGGCGCAATTTAAGTCCACTGCCATTACTCAACTGAAACACCTGAACATGACATCAGGTCTTGAGATGTGTTTTACTCTCCTGTTTTTAAGATGCTGCATGGACAAGCAGTATAAATCAGGATGAGTTATCACAGACGTATCTATAATATGTTGGTATTTTACTGCCAATGATACTGTATCTGCTATATTGACAAACCATCTCTCTTTCTCTTTTCCCTATGGACAGGGGAAAATTTTAGTGGGAACGAAAGATGGAGAAATCCTTGAAGTAGGGGAAAAAAATGCTGCTTCAAACTTGTTAATTGATTGTCACATGGAAGGGGAAATTTGGGGCTTAGCAACTCACCCCTCAAAAGACATATTTATCTCTGCAAGTAATGATGGAACAGCAAGAATCTGGGACCTGTGTGACAAAGTGAGTATCACTAATTGAAAAGTACGTGATTAAAAGTGAGGATTTTATATACCCACGCATTTTTCCAACTGTACAACATGCACACTTCCAGCCACATGCACCTTTGAGCAGCCACATAAAAAGTCCAGTGTGTTTTTTCTATTTTAGTACTGTTCTTTTCCTTCTTTGTGGCCATGTGAAAAGGTAAGTTCTTGGTGAAGTAGCATGCTGCACTTTCCAAAAGCAAGCTATTTGCAGAGAATTGCAGTTACATAAAAGCATTTACGCTGATGGAGTGCCTTTTATTGCTTAACAAACATTATTAAAAAATGAGATTTTAATGTAAAAGTACAAACTGGCATGCATTAAGGGAGCGTTTTAATTCTGTGCTGACACTGGGTAAGTCAGATCATTGGCTAATACACAGACCCTGACAATAAGCCTGCCTCGCTGGCAAGCATGACTTCCTGGTTTCTAGAGACTTTTTAGAATTGATCATGTTGCATATATGTACATCAGGATTTTCTTTTCCAATGTCAAATTGTATGTATCAGCAATGAATTTTAAAAATGACAAATGGGTTTCTTGTTATGCTAGGCTACATAAACCTTTTCAAAAGCTAGTTACCTAAGCTAGTAGGGATAATTCTTAATGTGAAAAATGAATATACGGTTAGTACAATCAGGTAAGCGAAACTGCAAGAACATTTTATTGTTTACATGTAGCAAATAAAATTACACTCCCCCCCATCCTGCTCACCAGTATGGACACTAACAAAACAGACTTAAATAGAATAGGAAACTGATTTTTCACCATTTTTTGCTAAACAGTATTCTTTCTGGTGTCAAAACTGAAGTCATCCTGCAACAAGATAGATCTATATTTTGAATTCTGTTTAGCAACATATGCCTTGTGGGATGTTATTTTTATGTGCAACTTCAGATTTATATTTAGAGGAAACGAAACAGAATTTGTTTTTAATAAGTGGCATTTATATGTTTTGCTTGGAAACTTTCTGTTTACTTGACAGTACAGGTATGATACTGTTGCTTCCATTAATACAGAAACTGCTGAACAAAGTCAATCTAGGCCATCCAGCTAGATGTGCTGCGTATAGTCCTGATGGTGAGATGGTTGCAATCGGCATGAAGAATGGAGAATTTGTTATTTTACTTGTTAACAGCCTTAAGGTTTGGGGCAAAAAGCGAGACAGGAAGTCTGCAATTCAGGATATTAGGTATGTCAAAAACTTCAACTGAAGTTCTCTAAATACACAGCCCTTGCTCAGGAAATAGTCCACCCAGTTCAGAGGTGTTTTCCATTTTTCTTGCAATTCCATATTTGTTGAAACTTGCATGAAATCATGAAATGCATTTACCGGCTGACTGACAGATACCTTAAGCTTATATATACATACATGTTATATAGCACATTCTTTTTTTAAACTGATATAATTCAGTTATATCCACTTGAGTAATTTGTATACTGTGGAGCAATAATTCTGGAAGTTAATATAACACATTATAAAATTGCAAATCTCATTTTCTCACAGAGGATTGGTGTTACTCTGCATATTGTGCTGCGCACTTTCTTCAAGTGCAACATTAACACCAGTTCACTATGTATAACATCCTCAGTCTTTCTCATTAAGCAGTGTTTGGTTTGGATTTAATCTCACTATTGATAAAAGGTATTTTGTTTCACTGTAAAGTAAGTTTGTCCCTTTGTGTTATCATAGGAAGCAGAAGAAACAGTAAATTATATCTTCATTCCGTATTTTATTGTCTAGGATCAGCCCGGATAACAGGTTTTTGGCTGTGGGTTCACAAGAACATACTGTAGATTTTTATGATCTCACTCAAGGTACAACCCTAAACCGAATAGGCTACTGCAAAGACATTGCAAGCTTTGTCATCCAGATGGATTTTTCTGCAGACAGCAAGTACATACAGGTATATCTCACATAGGACCATGCTTATTTCTATTTATTGTGACTTATTTGCTGTCAAACATAATAACAAGGTGGAGGTAAGCAAGAGTAGGGGAGACTTTCTGATGCAAATCAGATAACTTAGATTGCCCTTACAATGTTCACAGAGCTATTTTTAAAGTTGTCTTTTTCTTTCTAAATAGTTGGGTCTTCCCCTGGGTTCTGCATATCCTGCAGTAGCAATATAGCTCAGTTCCCTTAAAAGATTGGCAGTGTGCTGAGGGTAAGGTATTCTCTTATCCCCAGTGTCATATGCATTGCCTTAAAATAAAATTGTGGACTATAAGCTCAATATAGAAACCTTTCTCTAGGTTGGGATGCATATCATAGCTGAATTCACATGTGAGTTTTCCTTTTGAATTTAGTAAAATTGGGTCGAGATAAGCAAGAGAGTAAAAGGAAATTCATCAGCTATGTAGAATGCATACAAACACCTCATTCAATTATCGTCCTGTAGCATTGTTGTTACTTTATATTACATACAATTATAGCTCATGAGGAAAAAAACACAATGGTTATCTGTGATGTTTATTTGCTGATACTACTTGCTAAGACTATTATTGCTGGAAAAATTTTTAAAAGATAAATTGATGCACTTCTGGCAAAATCTCTAGCTTTTTCCTTTCCTGCTTTCAGGTATCAACTGGTGCCTATAAGCGTCAAGTTCATGAGGTACCACTAGGAAAGCAAATAACGGATCCTGCCATGATAGAGAAGATTACATGGGCCACGTGGACAAGGTGAGAAATTGAGGAACAAAGTTCTACCTGACTGGGGATGAGCACAGTACTGCATACAATACAGTGCACAAGATCAGACTGTGTAAACCAAATACATGAAATGTCCCTGGGGTTTGACAAATGTGAAAGAAAAGCTCTTACATGCCTTTTTCAGTGGTTGAAGCTGGTTGGTGTCATGCTGTCTCTGTGTAACGTTATTCATAGTCATGTATCACTGTCTTATATCCACTTTGGCTTGTTGCCATTTGTCCCAGCCTTCCAGTGGTGAAGTGCTTTGCCCCTCACATTGCTCTGTGCTGTTACAGGTTCATTTTATTGGCATGCTGGCACAAGCAGCATGGGAGGCATGGAAACATGAGCTGATTGTATAGAAAGGAGTTGTGGGTACCATTAAAATGTATTTATTGACATGGACTTACATAGGACCCCCTTGCACGTGATTACAAAACCATGGTTGTGCACTTGTAGAATGTGGAACAGGCCAGAAGCAGATCTGACAATAAACAGTGGGATGATAGTACAGGCAGATGTTTAGGAGAAGATAAGTGAGGATCCTCCCACTCTTACTGCTCTGTAATTAGGCATAAAAATTCTGCCCCAAATTACTCATTTCTAAGGGCTCTTCACAGCTTTTGGGAATGAGACAGGTGTACCTGACAGTCAACATGTGGGTAAATAATTATAAAGAAACCTCAGGTAAGCGGGGGGGGACGGGGGGAAAGCTGTTTTGAGAAATACTCAGATCCAAATAAGTATTCACTCATTCAAAAACTCAGGCTAAGGGAAGAGAGTATTACTGTTTAAAAAAAAAAAAATTACCAATGGGAGGGTACAGTACATGCCCATGTGGAAGGGAAAAGCCCATAGTTGCTCAAGCTGCTTGTATAAAACAAGGGGAATGGTTTCACAGAACAAAACCTCAGAGTTTATGTTTAGAGACGGTTTAGGTGCCATGCAGCAAAAATATATTCTTGTGATGCTCTCCATTATGAGAATGCAGGCAATGGCTTAGAGGGAAAATATTTTAAAAGAAGGCAGTTAACAGGCTGTTGCCTCACCATGCTCTGGACAAGAGCAGCCACAGGTCTTATGGTCTAACGCTGTTTTTTTAACTTCCTTTCTGAACAGCATTCTTGGAGACGAAGTCATTGGAATTTGGCCGCGAAATGCAGATAAAGCAGATGTCAATTGTGCGTGTGTGACCCATGCTGGCCTAAATATAGTCACAGGCGATGATTTTGGTCTGGTGAAACTGTTTGATTTCCCATGCACAGAAAAATTTGTAAGTAGATATTTTATTTTATTCTAAGCAGCTTGCTTTTCCCTGTGTCCAAATTCCTTAATGTATGTTTTTAAGGAGTCCAAAGTGCGCGGCCCAACAGGTCAGCTCTAGGCTGCTCCCAGCCAGTGCTGGTTGCAGGAGCGTGGGAGCCATGTGGCAGACTTGCTGTCCCTAGGAGAGCTGCTCGTAGGTGGCAGGGTAGCCACCTTCCAGCTGCTGGGAAGGCCACAGCTCCCAGAGCTGGGTGCCAAGTTTGGATTACCAGGAGCTCTGACAGGAGTGCTGCAGGGGGTGTGGTTATGCATGCACTCACAAGGCAGCTGTCACTTTTTAATGGTAGGCTAGCATACCTAAGTCCTGAACTTCTCTTCCTTTTCCAACAGGCCAAACACAAGCGGTATTTTGGGCATTCTGCGCATGTTACCAACATCCGCTTTTCTCATGATGACAAGTATGTGATAAGTACAGGAGGAGATGACTGCAGGTAGCTGCTTATTTATTTTTATGGTGATGGGATTGATGAAAAAATTTGTTGTGTAACTTCCTGTGCCAAACGCACAGCAATGCAAGTACCACGTTTCTTGGCTCACTCTGTATTCATTGGTACCTGCTGAAGCGTGAACTTTGCTTTTCTTACTCTTGCACTGCTGTATTTTATGCTTACTTGTACCTGATTTGCTCCTGCTACCTTGGCCATACTCATAAGGCCATCGGGTAATCATGCAGTCAGGTATCTGTGCCTTCAGTTTATGTCACCAGAGCACCCAGCATCTGCTTCTAGGTCCTTTGTCTTGCCTTCCTCCTGGAGAGAGGCCAGACCAGGCCGATCTTGCCTATTGCTGCACGGCCTGCAAGGAACACGGAGCCTTTGAGTGACAAGAGGTAGGTGAAGGAGCTCTGGCTGCTGGCACAGGACCCACTTGTGTGGCTGAAGAACATTTAGATGAGATAAAGACAGCTGGTGAGGGTGTCAGTCACACAAAAATAACTGAGTATCTCCCACCCAGCAAGGGGATAGGACAGAAATTCCAGCTGAACAGAAGGATAGACGGATTTAGAAAAACATTTGAAGTAACAGGAGGCTCCTCAAAAGGTGCCTGAAGGAAAAAAAAAAAAAAAAAAAAGGAAAAAGGAAAAAAAAAAAAAAAGGAGTGGATGTGGGTGGGTGCATGGATTGTATGCCTCTGTGTGGGTGTGTGCATGCACATGGCCGTGTCTCTGGGTGTTGGCTCTCTGGCTCTGGGTGTGTGTGGCTGCATGTGCATGATGGTTTGCATGTGCAGCTGCACACGCATCTGCGTGCGGCTGTCTGTGATTGTATGTTTGCAGGTGTACGTGTGTGGCTGTGACTGGCTGTGTTGGGGGGGGAGTGGCTGTGTATTATTAGACTGCTTCAACATGTGCACAACAGAAGGCAGTGCCAGGGCTTACCTTTTGCTTTTTTTGTTTACCTGGAGGCTTGCAGTTAGAGGTATTTATAGACACAGACGTATTTTGAGTAGTCTGTCTATGATATGCTAAAGGTTATCATTAATTTACTTATAAATAAATGTTACACTATCGCTTAACTTCTTTGTAGTGTATTTGTATGGCGATGTCTTTGAAAGACAACTTTTCCTGCTGTTACTGCAACCACCAAGTGACAGCTCTGGACTGGACAGCCATGAATGCCTCTACCCTCAGCCGCTGGAAGTTTCCACATGCTGCTGTGTGGATTACGCCTTTTTGGATTACTCGTGACTTTACTGACCATGAATGCGATCGTGCGATGTGAAGACCAACATCCTTGAGCAGGAAGCTGAAGTTTGAAAGCGACATGTTTTGTAAGAGGGGTAAGCTAAAGTGAACAGTTAACACCCTAAGCTGCTTTTGCCTAATACTGTATTATTCAAATCACATCTGAAAAGGGAGGACACAGAGGGCCCTTTAATTTGCATAATTTCAAAATTTAAACATTCACTCAAAAAAGTGTTTTTACTATACCTGCTTAAAACTCAAATTTAGTGCACTAAGTCACAAGCTTTTAATGAGCACGCTGGGTTCATGCTTCAGCTTTCAGGAATTGGAGGAGCAAAGTATAATTTTTGTTTCAATGTATTTATTTGGCAAAATTTTCTATCCATGAAGTGCCTTTGAACAATATTTCCAGTAGTCTGGGCTACAATCTTGCCTCCCACCAATGTCTGTTTTCAACATATGGTGCTATAACTTTCACACAGAGGAGGGCTAACACCAACACTTTTCCAGACATGTACTTACGTTATCCGCTAAATCCCTTTTTAGTGCTTTGGTTTTTAATACCTTCAGAAATGAATTCCAAAATGTTTCCAAGAGCAGGAACCTATGCATCATTATGAGGACAAAACTGGTGGTGTGACATCTCTTGGTAAGCTATACTCAATCGGTTCAGATGGTAGATGGGCTGCAGCCAGAATTTGAGGCTTAACTCAAAGTGGGGACAGGAGTGGGGGAAGTAGAAAGATTTTTTTTAACACAAATAATGAGGAAGTTGTTCCCTAAGTGTTCCTGCAATCTCCCTGTTGGCAGGAAAACATGCTTCATATTTAACTGCCATCCCAAGCAGTGACCATCTAGTGCATTAAAGTATTTTGAAAGCCACCAGGAATCCTTGTTTCCCATTATGCCCTCTGGAGAGAGAGAGACAAATGAGAGAAACCAATGAGGGCTGTGACCCCTTCAGTGGGCAGCTAGGCCCATGCTATTTAGACATAGAAAATAAATAACTCTGGTACCTGGCAGTTTACCTATCCCGGAGAAAAGCAAAATCTTTGCTAAATTTGAACTCCTCTCCCCATCCTTGCTTCTCTTGCACCGTGTGCAGCCCTCTGCTCTGTGACTAGGCTGTGGGATCATGGGGCAGGAGGGCAGCAGGCAGCTGAAATGAAATATGAGATCTCTCCACTTGAAAGTGGAGACTATGAGCAGATGTTCACAAAAAGCAAGAAGAGCTCTTCAGCAGTTGTTACTGAACTTCTTAGAAAACCAAAAATGATAGGGGACAGTGGAATTGGAGAAAGAAAAAGTTCAAATTTTCAAATGAAATCTTAGAAAGGAACAGAAAACATGGGCAGTTTCAAAAGATTTCGGAGAGTTCTGATGTGGAATACCTCCGTATTTTGGAACGACCTTCCTTTTAAACAGACCGGTTTTAATCAAAAGAAATAAAGGCCAAAATAGAACATTTTGACTTATATGTAGTATTTGAAAAGAGATACTGAATTGTGGTTTAGTCCCAGTTCAGTTCAGATTAATAGAATGATTAATTGTGGAACCATCCTGCCAAACCACTTCTGATTCCCACTACGTAAGTGAGACAATAGCTGTTAGACATAAAAATGTCATATCATAAAAATGACAAATGAAACAACTATCCAATTAAAGGAGTGGATCCATGTATATTTAACACACAAAAGTGCTTCAGCAACCTCCAAGAATCACCTTTTTTTAAAAGTGAATTTATTAATGCCTTATATTACTATACAGATCAGTTTGTCAGATACACAATAAGAGTCCCTATGCAGTTTTTTTTTTTAAATAAACCTTATTGATCAAATATTGTAATCATGTTAGGTGGTGATGTCAGTGAGCACCTTCTTTGCTTATGTTGTCATGTTTGCCTTTCACATTGATTGTATCCTGAATAAAACCAGTTGCACAGCAGAAGGAATTATTAAATGGCTATGTTAAAAATATCTTAGAGCAATAGCGTCTGTCAGGATAACACTTAAAAATTTGTATGTTTATATGGTTTGGCTTTATGTATAAAATGTTCAGAAGTGATGATGTACTATACTGTAAATTAAAATATTAGTGCATGAATTTATTTTTCAATGGTCAAGATGCCATTAATTTAAAATCTGTGTCTCAAATAAACTCGGATACAAGTTTTCAATGTCCAGCTTTCTAAATCAGGCTCGAAAACATCTGAAAAATTATTGGACTCGCTTAACAATTTCCTTCAAACTAGTACATTACTGTCTTCAACATAAAAGAAGCCAAGGATATTTACTTCTTTTAGCAGAATCTAAAATTTCATCTTTTTCAAGAACAATTTTCAACCACCAACCAACTCACAAGACTGACAGTCACCCACGTCACTGAGCTGTCAGTGCAGCTGGCCATGGTAACAACAGTGGCCTTCAGTATTCAGCATCGAGGCCTCCTCACTGCAGGAAAGCATCTGCTCTACGAGAACTACGCGCCAAACTGAGCATCACCCACCAACACAGCTATTCAGGACATCAGATCTGTAACTAGAACTGAACAAACTGCTTCACGCTGCACAAAAGGTATCATGAAAAATCCATCTACTCACATTGCTATAAATCTGACAAACTACTTCTACCACCATGTACAATGGATATTTAATCACGATGAACTTAAAATAAACACAAATATATTAAACTTACCTCAAGAAAGCAAAATACCGATATTATTTTAAGTCTATAAGCTTTATTGATACTTGGGGTTTTGTTTTTTTTTTCTTTTTTGTTTGTTTTTTTTTTTTTACATTTCACAATGCATTCCACAGACTTAGTTCAATACAGCTTAAACTGCAAGTGTATAAATTTTCATTTATAATTTCTTGCATAACAAGGTTTTAAGTTTCCAAACAACATTTGCAGCGTTAGATATTCAGTCCACAGATTATCAGAGTTTGAGAGACTGTAGAGTTACTTGCTCAAAATCAACTACTGCATGTTTGCGCAACAAAGTGTATGCTGTAATCTTTTAATATATGTGGAGGTTCCTTTGTTCATTACTTTTTTTTGTTTGTTTCTTTTAAACAGATGCTAGTGTTTACAGAGACATTTTAGTTTTTCAAGCTTGTGTGCTATGGAGCTAGTCCAGAAATCAGTCAATTCTCTGAAGTACGAAGCACTGTGGAGCAGCTGAAAGATCTAAGCTTTGTGAAACACATATATATATATATATATATTGGCAATTGATAAAACAATAAAATCACAATACAGCTATACTCATACCAAAAAGGCAAGATTTTTCAAAACTTGCTAAAATGGTATATTCTTCTAAAACATCTCATTTTAGAAAATCTGCATCAATCTACACAGACCATACACAGTGCACAAACTGGGAAGTGTTATCCTCCGCTCCACCTGCACTACCTCTTCTGGAACGCAGCAGCGCCTACCTCTGATGAAGCAAAATGTACAGCTTTCTCAAATCTTTTTGTATTAGCCAGTGCTGCACATGGGATAAAGAAAGATGATTAGTTTTAAATCCATACATAGCAGCTTACAATACTTAAGATGATGAAACACATGGCAGTCAAAACAGTTATTTTTCCTCAAACACTGCGTTGCTAAAAAATAAAGATCTGTGAAATTGCACTGCAATGTCAAGGGTTTTGCTTATTCCCTGACCCTCCCCATGTAAATCCAAATAAGTATTTTCCCCCTTAAAAGATGAACTTCCTATCAGTAAGTTGCTTCAGGCTTTTTATTCAGTTTTGCGCTTCAACCCAGGAATTTTTGCTTGGATCCTGCAAAAGGAACAAGAGAGGAAAAAGAACAGCATTTGAGTAAGGAAAAAAGAGTAGGTAGAAAAGCCTTCAAGACAGGCAATCTGTGAAGGTAATTATCATGGCAAACCAACTATTACACAGAAAAATTGATAGAACTGCTGAAGGCCTCCTTTGCTCATGCCACAGCTGCAACCGCTGTGGGCCCACAGTTTCACTAATACACAGATTTCTATTAAAAATAACATCGGATGGACTTAAATGCACCTCCAAGAAAAGAGCTGATTTCATAACCATTCCATTTTAAGCAAAGAACTTTCTCCTCCCACAGCTAGTATATATAACGCATTTGTTATATACAGAAGTAGCATGCATGCCAAGAAACTAAACATTATTTATGTTTAAGTGAAAAACAAACAAAAAACTCACTTAGCCATTGCGTCTTTGACATTCTTGTTCACTAGTCCCAAATAATGGTCAATTTGGGCCTGAAATGTAAGGTGAGAGATGTTAGAGACCAAGGCTTACCAACAGTTCCTTTGCTGCCTGGCAGGCAGTTACACACGCTAAGACGCCCTGCAGGAATGACCACTGATGGAAGGAAGCAGCTCAACAGTGCTTATTTCCCAGTTTGATGCTGCTCCAACGCAAGCACGCACAACCAAGGCCCATGGTGAGAAGTGAGCAGTCAGCTTCTCTTTCTCCTCTGGGCACCACAGAGAGGGAAAGCTGCTTCCCTGTCAAACAGCTTAGGCCCTCCGAGAGCAGCCTTCGGCTTGTCAGGAGGATCGAGGAGCCCAGGCTAAGCCATGCAAACTGTCCATCATCTTTCCTTTCACTGCACAGTATTTAGCTCGTTTCTGTGGTCTATACAGAGGTTGGAGAGGAGCCCAAGAAGCTCTCCCATCTTTTTAGAGCATTTCTTCCACTTTTCCTACATCCCAGACTGACCTTCAGGATCAGAGTTGTTTTGGAAAGAGGAGAAGGAACTGCTAAGCCAGGGCTGGCTTCCCCCCCTCCTGTGCTATCAACCTGCTGAAGACAGTCCCTGCTCAAGCTCTACTATTATTTAATCATAGTCATTTTACTTTGGCTTCTTCTTACCGCCTCTTCCTTTACAATAGTCTGCTGATAGAAGTATTAGACTGTACCAAGCCTCTTCTGCTGCCTGTTTTAGCCAAATTACAAATTCCGTGGGGCTTCAGGACACAAATCCTGAATACCAGCTCCAAAGTGTGTTATTTTTCTTTTTTTTTTTTTTCCAGAAATTGGTTTAAAAGTACTTATATCAAGATTCACACCCTGCCTACTGCTGCAGCAGGCCTGAATAAATCCAGATGAGAGGAAAAGAAGAGAGGAAGAGAAGGTTAATCATGTTTTTTTCCATAATCGTTTGCTGGGGAAGCCACCTTACACTTCCACCAAAAAGGAGGATGGAAAAGCATGCACGGCCTGGACTTCCAAGTGAACTTGGTTCTCTTGGCTCTGGCAGTGACTCCTGATTAAAGGCCACCATTTTAAAGACTTAAAGAGTTTAGAAGAATAAAATGAATTTTTATTTTCTCCTGGTTTTGCTTCAATAGAACTAACTTCATGGAGTATTTAATGAACCTTATTGAACACTCACCTGATGTCTCTCATAAATAACAGGAACACTGAAGAGCGAAATCAAAGCTGGAAAAGAACAGATCAAAGGTGTAAATATTGACAGAAGGAATGGTGCTCAGTTAAACAAAGACTTGCTTTCACACCTTAACATTTCTTTCAAAAGGGTACAACAAAAAGAAATAACTAGGCCACACACAAAAATTGTTGGCTGGTAATTTAAATAAACCCTGCTAAGGAGAAGCTGGGCTGCTCTCCAGGTCTTGTTAACGGTACAGTAACTCTGGTCACAGTTCACTTTTTCACTGTGGGTTAGGCACATTCTTAGCAAGAGTGCTTAGGTCAGTGGCACCGCCCTCTGGACTACAAGAAACAAACTATCTTCAGTGGGAGGTGACCAGAGCTGATTTTGTACCTCCACCAAAGTTACAATATAGCAATGATATTAAAGAAAAGCTAACCCTGACAGGGAGACTAGGGTGTCTGGAAAATGTGCAACTTCACAGAATTCAACACAATTCAAAATTGTCCATTCTGCAGGGTTATCAATGTCCTAGAGAAAGGACACACAACTACATCATCTTGATACAATCTCAAGAACACAGGAATAGCCTGGGAGTATCGGGCAGACTTCATTGCTTTTCCAGGGTTATTTTGCAATGCCAGGTATTTAACACAATTTCAAACACTTACCCAGTATCAGTAATGTCAGACCATTAAACAAGGCACCAACATAAGTGAATACCCACATCAACACTGCAAACTGAAAAATAAAAGCACGTGTCAGCCTGTGACTGGTCTTACAAGAACATATTAGTTATACCAGTAAGCGAGATAACTTCTCTAAATGCACATTTGAAGCTGGAACACCCCAAACTCCACCCGTGTGCATCTAATGTAATTATAGATGAGTGACGAGATGGCTGAAGGGTTTAGTAATGGGATATGTGGCCTCTTGTGTCTAGGTCATTGGGCTGAATTCGGCCCAAGTCAGCAGTGACCAAAGGCTGTCAGTACGTGGTGGTTGCTCAAGGCCCCCTGCGTGTGCACAGCACTTCCAATACGGCATTTCAGAACGATGGGCAAACACTTCCTACCTCCCACCCTTCAGAAGACAGGAACGGGACAGGCAGGGAGGTGAAAGGGCTGGCACACACCGCAGCCCTTGGGGACAGAGCCAGAAGGAAAGCGGGTCATTTGGTTGCATGGCAGCCCAGCAGCCAACACATGAGCACATCAACCCCGGGGCTGCAAAGCCACCGGCGGCACTGCCCCACCACAGCCACGCTGCAGCTCCGCAGTGGTCTCCATGAACCACTGACTGCTAGGCAGGGGCTTCTGCCACACTGGGTGAAAAACCTGGCAGGGAATGCGACAAGGCTGCCTTGGGTGACGTTTTTCCCTTAAACAACACAAGGACTTAGAATACTACAATATTCAGGAAAGAAAGAAGTCATCCGTGCCATAAAATGGAAGATGGCTGCAGGTCAAAGACAACCTCCAAAGAGAAGCTGGGTTCATGCACACCCAGCCCTTCCCTTCCTTTCTCTTCCCTTCCCTTCCCGCTCGTGGTGCCTGCCCCAGCACTGGCCGTGCTGTTGCCCCCCCTGCCCTGCTGACTCTGCTCTTGCACAGGCCCCATCGGGGGGGCCTCAACCCTGCCTCAGTGGTTTCGCACAGCTCTGAGGGAGTTAAACCCCGGCAGCTTTCCGCCAGGTGCAGAGTGACCCAAGCACACCTCTGACCTATACCAGGGCAGGAGCGGGCTGCAGGCTGCCAGCTCTATTTCTGTGTAGGATTCCTCCCTGAGGAAAACCTGCCCATTTCTTCTAGTGTTGCACAGCCCATAAGGAACAGAGCAGAAGCCAGGATTTGGATGTCAGATCTAGTGGATTTAGCAGCACTTATTTCTTGCTAAGCAGACAAGACCCCAGCACTCTAATCAGCTAAGTATGTCTGGTTATTTTCTGGGCAAGACACTGTAAAACAGCGGAAGGTGGTGCAGAGGCTGCAGATACATCCAAATCCAAAGAATCCACAGATAGCAACCGAAGGTGAAGCACTGCAATAAGCAGGAGATGCAAAGGCAAAAGGTGGGCACAAAGCACTGGAAAATAAAGAACGTAATGCTGAAGGACTGTGGGCAAAAGATGCAGACTGCAGCTGAGTTACTCAGAAGTTATGCAGCCAGGCGTCCATTTTTAGCTTATCATAAGACGCAAAATGTCCAAACCAAACAAAATCAACAGTAAGGGCAAAATCAAGTAAGGGCAGGGCAATAGACAGGTCTAGCTGCATAACCCCTGTAATGAAGGAAGTTTACTTCAAGAGCTTCATTCAAAGCTGGTCCCATTCAAAATTCAGCAGGATTAATTGCAAATGATGCAGTTCTTTATCTGTCAGCTCTTTCCAGAGGTGACGCAAGCAGCACTGGAGGCACAAAGTTAACCCTCAGACAAGGCTGCAATGTTACCATCAGCTGCATTTCCACTGAAGGAATTTGGCAGGTTTATCAAGAAAA